GGGGGGGGGGGCGGGGGGGGGGGGGGGGGGGAGGCGGGGGGGGGGGTGGGGGGGGGGGGGGGGGGGGGGGTGCATTTGTATTCACCATATTACTTGAAACAGTGGAACACAATACGCGATTATATCATCAAATAAATATGTGAGATTTATAGTTTTGTTTTTTCATGCTCTTCAGGCTGTGAATGCTTTTGCGACTACGGCAGTCAGTCAAAACGTCTCTTTGTGGTAGTTAGATTGCTTGAAAAGAACTGAATTGCAATGCTGTACCTTTTAATCTCAGATGCGGCGCCAAGTTCATGGTTCTCGTGCAAGTGATTCTTGTAAGAAATTGCCTGTCTATTGACATGTTGTCAAGGGTAGGACACAGTCACCCCATCAACTGCTCAGAGAACGAAAACGAAAAGGTGTATGTGTCTTGTAATGGAATCAATCTAACAAGTATCCTTGTAAAATTTAGCTAGTTCCGTTTTCAGATGCTCTCGGGGGAGAACTGTGTAAGCATCTTGCTCTTCTCGACATGCTAATATTTTTATTCTTACATCAAGTCTTGATTCAATCTCGTGGCCTTCATCAGCGACTGCAAGGCTACTTAGCCCGACGTGAGGAGGGTTATTGTAGTACAATAGCTGACTAAGACAGCGTTGGGCCTCGTGGCCTAATGGCTAAGGCATCGGTTTCCGGCGACGGAGATTACCGGAGATTCCAGGTTCGAGTCCTGGCGGGGTCGACCAACTTTTTTTGCTTCAATTGATCATGACTCGCCTTTATCACCCTTATTTCCCTTTTGCCCCTTTTCCCTTTTGACTGCCCCCTTTCTGTGAGCTGTCCTCTTTCATTTGCTCTTGCTCAATTTGATTCATTTCAATTTCACGACGTCTTAAAATTTGTCCTGGCTCGCGCTTAACAGAATCGAGTTGGCTGGCCTTGACCAGTCACTATGCTAGTGGTATCAAAAGAATTCTCAATCAACGCTTCGCAAATGCCATTCACCTCCCGTGAAATAAACCTTCAGTCTCAACGCGGGTTCAACATTTCAACAATCAAATACAGCTCTCACAACGCCTCTACTGCGAGTGTCCATAATACTCAATTATGTTTCCCTGCGCAGGCCGAACTGGCTGCTGCTGCTGCTGCATAACAGGCTCCTGTGTCATGGCGGGCTGCTTCCCGGCGCCCGAATAGAAGGGCTGCTGCGGGTATTGGTACGGCGCCGCGACGGGCACATACACGACTGTGTAGGGGTTGCGCAGGTGGTTGCGGAGGTACGTGTCGGCGCATGCAGCGACGAAAAGCACAAAGGCAAAGACGAAGACGATCCAGAGAAAGACGCAGGTGGCAATCATGGGTCCGTTGACGCCCCTTTGCGCGCAGAAATCACGACGCTCGTCGTCGTATGGGTCATGGTGGGAGTTGCTGTTGTGGGGGTAGTCGCGGTAGCGGTCGCTGTCGGACGGGTTATTGCCAGACGAACTGCTACCGTAGATGCTACTCGTAGGCCGGTTGCTGGAAGCGCTGCTGGTGGGCGGCCGATAGGGATAGTACGGATCCTCGTACGGATCGTCATCGGATCCCTTGAGGTAAGGATCGTATGGGTCACGGTCGAGCGGCGAGGTGGTGGTTGTAGGGAGGCTACCGCGGATCCTGGTGCTGGTAGGTGCCATGGTGTTTATGCTGTTGTGTGTGGCTGTGGGAGTCGCAAGCAAGTTGGTGGATGTGGCGGCGTTGATTTGACGGACGTGGACAGTAGCGACAACAGCATCGACAGCGGGCACATGACGAAGCGCGTAGTTGTCTAGGCCAATGGAGCGACGCATGTCGCCATCCCGGTAGTCGCGGCACTGCGCCAGGCTGATGACTGCAGAGGTGGTGAGGATGCCGCCGACAATCGCCAGGAGGATCCACGAGACGAGCCACACTCCGACGTGGGCACCCGGGTGTACACCCTGGAGAAATCGGCGGCGCGGGCCGGTGAGAGCAAAGCACAAGTCGCTGGCGGCCCAGACGACGGGGACCAGGAGGGCGCAGGCGCAGGCGGGAAAGATGATGCTGCTGGCCATGTAGTTGTCGCCGAACCGCACCATGGACAGGCCAATGGCGAAGCCGATGATGGAAAATACAATGACCAAGACGTTGAATATGGCCTTTGTCATGCGCCACGAACGGTCTTCGTGGTGGTTGGGGTCAATGTTTCCCGAGGCATCGGCAGCGGGCGGCGTGGCTTTGGCGACGTTGTAGGCTTGCGTGTCGACGCAGGCCATGATGAAGAGAGTCAGCGTGTCGAGGAATAGCAGGATGAGAAGAACAAATTGGGCGATGGATTGCGGTTTCAAAGCGGTGCGGTCGTCCTCGCTGTACACCTCACCGATTGTCCAGTGAAGGACAATGGCAAAGGTGGCAACGAGGCCGGCGTATACGATCCAGCAGACGAGCCAGACGCCCGCGTGGACGGACGGGTGCAAGCCCCGAGAGAACTTGAGAGACGCGCGCACCGCGGTCTCGGCAATGGCAAAGATGATGGTGAGGACGTAGACGGGTAGGGGAATGGCAAGCATTGCGTTGCCGTCGGTGAGATCAAAGGCGCCCGCGGCAGCAGCATGCCCGGACAGGCCGAGACCGACAACGGCAAAGAGAAAGGCGAGGAGAATGAGGAGCATGTGCTGGCCCTTCCAGGCGAAGAAGAGCGGGTGTGTTTTCTCACTGTGCACGCCTTGTTGCTGCTCTGGGTCCGTGACGGCATTCGCCACGGCAGCATCACGCTGAGCCTCTGGCTGCGCAGCTTGAGCATGCTGCTGCTCGGGGCTCACATGTTCGGCGTGGCGAGGCACAGGCGTTGCTGCCTCTGTCGTCTGCCGCGAGACGCGCAAAGACGGCTCGGGAGCGTCCAAGGGGGATACAGGTCTAGCAGCTGCGTGATCCGCGGGAGCGCGCTGGTCATGATCGTGGACGGTGGGCACACGTTCAGCCGTCTCACGTGTTGGCGAGGTCATTGGCGTGAATTGGCCGTCTGGCTACAAAAAGTCTCAACTCTCTGCGCGGCACAGTAATCTCGGCGTCGATGTGTGGTCGGTTGATGGCGTGGCTGTTGGGCGAAAGGGGGGGTGTATTCGTGTAGACGAGGATATCGACCAAGCAGACGGCAAAAAGCAACTGCACCCAAACGCAAGTAAGAAAAGAAGCAAGGGAAAAAGCGAGTGACTGGCCGAGACAGGCCCCTTAATAATTAAGCGAAAGACGGCGACGATGCCGGTGTCAAATTTTTCTTCTTTGCTTGCCCGTGCCCGTTTTTTGGGTAGAGGCAACACCGTGGGGAAAAGGCGACAATAAGGCTGAGAGAGGAGAAATTAGGGTCGCACGGCCGTGGCCCCCAAAGAGGAAAGGCGCCCCATGCGACAAATTGGTGTTCTGATTGCAAAGTCATTTCAAGGAGTGCTTTTATTGGCGGGCAGAGGCAAGCACGCAAGGCACGGGCGAATCGGCTGTTTTCACTGTTGTCTTTCAGCTTTACCAGTTTGGCGTTGGAGGCTCGAGTCGCCAATCGCCGCAACGCCACGCTTTAAATGATAGTTAGGGTGTCACGCGGAACAGTGATTAGGCATAGGGACAGTGTTAATTAAGGAGTAAAAGAAGCTATAACGCGAGGGCTCTGAGGGACACCCTTATAGGGTGGGGTACCTCTTCTCTTATACTAATTTCCCCCTATTATAGGTACCTTATCCCCTTATATAGTCCTATAACCCTTTATATTTAATATACCCCCTTAGCTTTTACTACTTTATAATTAACTCCTTAAAAATATATTATAATTCTTATTTTTAGTATTTTTTAGTATTTTATTATATATAATAATAAGTAAAAAAATAATACTAGTATAAAGACTTAAACCTTTAACTAAGCTAGTATTTATAAAAAAACTATTTACTAACTAATATAAAAAATATATAAGTTATTATAAATAATAATAAAAACTTAATCTTCTTATAAAAGGAAGAAGAAATTAATTATTATAAAAATTATATAGCTTATTTAATTTATAGTTTATATACTTAGGTTTTTTATTATTTTAATATCCCTTAACTAAGATACTTAAGTTATATATATAAACTTAACCTAATAGCTATTATTATAATATATAGGCTTTAACTCTTATAAATTACTTAACTACCTAGTTAATAATAAGTATACTTATTTTACTTAATAAAAGGTTACTCTAAGCCTTATAAGAATATTACTAATTAGCCTTAATAGGTAAGTACTAGTACTAGGCTTAGTTACTAGAATTTATTAGTAAGGCTAAATTTTAGTTATTCTAGCTAATTAATACCCTCTTCCTTAAGTAGCTAAGGTAGTATTAGTCCTAGCCCTTAGGTAGTTAATTAAGCTACTCTAGCTAGTAATAGTCTTATCTTAAGCCTAAGTATCCTAATAAATTTATTAAATTTCTACCTACTAAGGGCCTTTATAAGGCTATTTACTATTATCTTAGTTATAGCCTTTTATTATAGGTTAAATATATTAGCTTTAACCTTCTAGTATATCTAATAGTTATAAATATTAATATATTAGAGTTTAATAATAAGCTTAACTAGGTTTTTAGTAATAAGGTAAATTATCTAATAGTTATTATAAAATAGCTTAATCTTATTATTAAAGAGGAATTTTATATTCTTATAAAGGTACTAAAAAGCTATAATCTCCTTAGCTATTTAAGATAAGGCTAAGAGCTTAGCTTTAATTAATAAGGTTATTATAATATTTTACTTTACTAAATAATAAAAAATAAGGCCTCTAAATAGGTATAAAATATAACCTTAAGTGCTTTTCTAGTTATTAAGGTTATTAGTAAAAGTTATATTTATATATATTACTAATTCTTTCTTATTATTATTAAATATAAGATAATAGTCTTAGGATTAGTTAAGGTATTAAATATAGTTAAGTCCTTAGTTAATATATTACTAGGAGGGGTTAATAAGGAATTAGGAGAGTTTTAAAGTAATAAGGGTAATATCTAGCTAAATAATAATAGCTAGATACTTAATAGAGCTAATAATTAACTAGAATTAAGTAATAGCTTTCTTCTTTATTATACCTTTATTAGTAATAAATAGCTTTATTAATAAAGGTATAAAGACCTTCTTTTTATTATAATAGCTAAACCTATAAGTAATCTTTTAAATATATAACTTCTAAGATAACTAGACCTTCTTATTTTCTTAATCCCTAATAATTTTAATAACTAAGAACTAGTAAAGGCTACCTAGGGCTTTAATATTATATTTAGTTATAATTACTTTATATAAGGTAAGGAAGTCTTCCTTTATTAACTTATAATATAAAATAACTAAGTTATTTATAAAGAAAAATATAATAATACTACCCCTAATTATAATATAAGGGTCTTTAGGGTATACCTTAAATCTAAATAACTTAAAAAAGCCTAATAGTTTATTATATTATAGTAGTAATAACCTCCTAAGGCTATAAAAGGCCCTTAGTAGCTTCTAGTATTTATAATATTAAGGAAAGCTAGGTAATAGCTAAGTATAGATTTCTTTATTAAGTAATATATTAAGGAAGGTATTAATAAAGTTATATTAAGCTAACTCTAGGTTAAAGGTAACTATTAGAGCTATTATTAGCTAAAATATATATATAGCTAGGGTTAGGGCTACTTTTATAAGAAGGGATATAGGTTACTAGTCTTTTTATATATATAGCTAAGCTTTA